CTTGAATACCTTGAACAGCTGTTGTTTCATCGATCTCTGATGTCACGCCATCGATGCAGCTGGCAATTTCTCCATTTCGATCGATCCTTAGCTGACGAGACCAGGTGACACCATAAAGGCGCACGACTGGATCTCGCCATCGTGCTGGGGGCCTCCCCATTGTTCATTTCATCGCGCGTGGGTACCACTCCATTATCCATTTCGTCCATCGGTTGTCTGACATCCTTGCTACATGACCAGCCCAACTTCTTTTTCTGGCATACATTTCTTCGATTATGTCCTTGACAACTATTTATTGATAAAATATAAGGGGCTTCGCTTCCCTTCTCCCCCCTCCCCCCCCGTCTTTTTTTTTGCCCTTTTGGGAAGTATAAAATACAGTGTGTATTCTGTGCAAAATAGTTCTGTTCATTTCAGTGCAAAGCAAGATGTAACGAAAGATGTTGCACCGAGTGGCCGACGAAAATATCCACATTGGTCAACTGTAATAACACTGGAGGAGCTGTACGGATTACCACCATCCGATTACATCGATAAAAACGCTGGTTTGCCGGGTGAAGAAGATCGTGATAAAATAAGACAACTGAAAAAAGACTATGAGGAGAGGTACCGCGGATTCCTAACTCGAACAAACAGCACTAATCCAGTGAAAACGAATTTGATCTCCGATAATTCTCAGGATTGTGTAGCCGGTGATAGTAGTGATAAGTTGTTAAATGAAGTTGAAAAAGCAGCAGAAGGAGGTGCTAGGCATGAAACTTCTGGATCTTTGGAGCCCGGTGATAAAACAGGAAGCTAGTATTTCACTATTTCTGCTCAGATTTGCCTTAATTTTCATTGAAATTTTACCTGGCTTTCTAGTTTCGTTCCATATTGTTTTTACTTCTTAAAAATTATGTGATATCTGGCGATCCGGGACAAATTCGAACGAATTTCAAATGATTCTTGCACCTTCTGATGGGTATCCTCATGTAAAAAATATGTGATTTTAGTCATAAAATTATTTTTTTAGCCTATGATTCAGAAATGCAGCTGCACTCCTGCGTGTTTACTATTTTCCTGTTTTCCTCCTTTGTTTATCCCCACAAAAACCTTTCTCATTTTCATTAATCTCTTCTCTTATCTTCGGTGAAAATGTGATACCTGTTTATGCCTGGTGGTCGTTTGTGGCGCGCTGGCTAGCAAAAAGCTTTTGTTGTACAAAGTTTAGCTGAGCTAAGCAGAGAAAACAAA